TTCATGAGATTATAGCTACAGAACAGTGAAGAACGGAAAGATCAGGCCTATATAAAACTTACAAAACAAAACTCTTAAAATTGGGGAAATTCGAAAGAGGCAGGGAGGAATGCCAGGAGTACAGGTGCATCTCAATAAATTAGAATGTCGTGGAAAAGTTCATTTATTTCAGTAATTCAACTCAAACTGTGAAACTTGTGTATTAAATCATTTTAATGCACACAGACTGAAGTAGTTAAAGTCTTTGGTTCTTTTAATTGTGATGATTTTAATTTGGCTCACATTTCACAAAAACCCACCAATTCAATCTCAACAAATTAGAATACTTCATAAGACCAATAAAAAAAAAACATTTTTAGTGAATTGTTGGCCTTCTAGAAAGTATGCTCATTTACTGTACATGTACTCAATACTTGGTAGGGCCTCCTTTTGCTTGAATTACTGCATCAGTGTGGCGTGGCATGGAGACAATCAGCCTGTGGCACTGCTCAGGTGTAATGGAAGCCCAGGTTTCTTTGACAGTGGCCTTCAGGTCATCTGCATTGTTGGGTCTGGTGTCTCTCATCTTCCTCTTGACAATACCCCATAGATTCTCTATGGGGTTCAGGTCAGGTGAGTTTGCAGGCCAATCAAGCACAGTAACACCATGGTTATTGAACCAGCTTTTGGTGCTTTTGGCAGTGTGGGCAGGTGCCAAGTCCTGCTGGAAAATTAAATCAGCATCTCCATAAAGCTTGTCAGCAGAAGGAAGCATGAAGTGCTCTAAAATTTCCTGGTAGATGGCTGCGTTGACTGTGGATTTCAGAAAACACAGTTTTACATGAAAACACATTATTAATGCATCTGTTTGTTGCAAGCAATTCAATCCAAGTGCAGATGGCCTTCAGATAGCACTCTAAGAGTTTGGATTCAAATGTTTTACAAATAGATCCATGGAAAGCAAATTTTTGTATTCATTTTTATATACAAGTTGCATCATTGAATCCCATTTTTAATGCATAGCTGCTTGTTTATAAGACTTAGGTGATACCCTTTGTATCACGATTTTATATAACATATTTGTTTATCTGAAGGATATTGGACGTACAGCATGATGCCAAAAAAAGTGAGAAGGGTCAGGCTGCAGACATGCACTTGCATTTTCAGACTTGCACTCTCAGACTTGGACTCTTACACACCTGCACTTCCGCGAGTGACGTCACTTGCAGTCTTTTTAAATTTTTTTATTTTATTTAATTTATTAAATTTTGACAAATCAAAACATTATCGTGAATGTACGGAAATGTCTGTGCCTGTGCATAAATACAATGTGTGATCAGTGCGTCAAGAGCACTCATACACGCATTATTATAACGGACTCACGCGTGGTTATGTACGACTCCTTTGTACGCCACCGCAATCATCTTTACCTTGATTGCAGTCTTCATCCATCAAAACTTTACTAGCGAGACTGGTAACCCAGTCGAGAAACCGTAGTTTGCATCTCATCTGGCCATACAGCAGTGGCATGTGTCAATAGGGTCTGGCTGCAGACATGCACTTGCATTTTCAGACTTGCACTCTCAGACTTGGACTCTTACACACCTGCACTTCCGCGAGTGACGTCACTTGCAGTCTTTTTAAATTTTTTTATTTTATTTAATTTATTAAATTTATTTTTTATTGAATCTCTTAACATTTTACACAAGTAGCCAGGTGGTGAAGACAAGAAAAAAGAAACTAAATCACGAAGTCACTTGCAATCGCCGCTTGCACTCTCAGCTACCTGCAATCCACATCAATTGTGCGTGTTGCCAATGGAGACAAGATAAGTGGTTAAATGATTAAAACTAATTTAGTACTATAACATACAGGGTCCTGCAAGTCATCTGTAGGAGAAAAAGACAAGACCCGCAAATCCGTGGCCACAGAACAGCAGAATATGAATGCAATGCGCAAAGTCTCTCATTAAGCGCTTTTAAACCTCCGTAGAAAACCATACACTTAATATGGCTTAATGTGTTAAGATAGTGCTATTAAAAGATCAAATTCGATATATAGTTTATTCATTTAATGTACTAGGCTACTACAAGGCAAGCATATGCTCATGAACACAACGAGCAAACTTATACTTTTCCTCCCATACGCCTACAGCAAAACGCTTAATGTGCCATAACAGACTAAGAAGATAAAGACCAAATTCAGTATTTCTTATTGTTGATGCAAACTACACAGACCATATGAACACGCATTAAGAAATTAATTAAGTGATATTAAATGGACCAACTCTATTCTGGTCTCACCTGCTTATCTGTACATATTAATTGCGTTTTAATAATGAAGAAGAGCATATGAGGTCTTTATAATTAGACCGTTATGCCACATTATGCCACCTTTTGCGGTATGGGAGGAAAACACTATATACATACATTGTATTAATAAACTTAATTTGATCTTTTAATAGCACTATCTTAACACATTAAGCCATATTAAGTGTATGGTTTTCTACGGAGGTTTAAAAGCGCTTAATGAGAGACTTTGCACATTGCGTTCATATTCTGCTGTTCTGTGACCTTCTGTCTTGTCTTTTTCTTCTACAGATGACTTGCAGGACCCTGTATGTTATAGTACTAAATTAGTTTTAATCATTTAACCACCGCAGCGTCTTGTCACCGTTGGCAACAGGCACGATTCGTGTGGATTGCAGGTAGCTGAGAGTGCAAGCGGCGATTGCAAGTGACTTTGTGATTTAGTTTTCTTTTTTTCTTGTCTTCACCACCCGGCTACTTGTGTAAAATGTTGAGAGATTAAATTAAAAAAATAATGAATCAATTAAAATAAAAAAGTCTGCAAGCGACGTCACTCGCGGAAGTGCAGGTGTCTGAGAGTGCAAGTCTGAAAATGCAAGTGCATGTCTGCAGCCAGACCCTATTGGAAAAAGTAAGTAGTTATCGCCTCACATGCATTAATTGATTTTGCCTCTAGGGGGCAACATATGTCCATATTTCATGTTTAACTGCCTTGTTTACTCCATATTGACAGTCCGTTTTATATCACTTAAATTATGTGCTTGACTGGCTGTAGATCTTGAGTAAATACATAAAACGTTTTAATTTCCATTTTTTATTAGACATACTGACCTGCTACAATCTATTGCATAGAATATGACTGCAAAAGAAAATGCTTTATTATTTACAGACCTTACAAAAATCTGCTGTCAAAACAGATCAAAGGACAGTTTCTAGGGAAAGAAGAAAATGTAAGGTTTAAAGTCATCATAAAAAACATCTAGCCGTTTATTCAAAGGTATACAGGACTACTACATCGTGTCATTTGCTATTAGGCAAGACAGCGCTTTATGTTCCTATTTTCATATTGCACTTGGGACAAAGTGACATTTTGAGGTTTCTGATATTACAATTTCTTTAGGATAATTAAAGTAAATTGTTACAAAAATAAATAGTAGCCAAATTAACAAGATGAGGTGATGTTTAAAGCTTGCGGTTTTGTGCCTCACAACCAAATTTGAGAAGGACCATGATAATACAAACTCTTGCTGCTTTTTGTGGTCTATGTGCAACCAGTACATCAAACGTACCATACATTATTTGAGTAATCCGTTCATAAGTTTACGACAAAGTGTAAACCACTTTACACTGCTGCTCTGTGCATTACTGCAATACATGCTTCTAGACTAAAGCATAACGAACATTAGTTCATAACTAGAGGCTCCTGGGCTGATTATTGTGAAACAAATAACCTTCAAAAGACTGAAATTCAAGCAACAGGAGAAACTGCATTTAAATGAGGCCGACAACTGAAAGCTCTCTTCATTAACCACTTTAGCATAAAAACTGTTAAAAAGCTGCCTATATAACTGAATGGTCCAAAGGGAAGTGAACACACTGTTAAGATCCCATCGTCTTTCAGTTCACAGTCAGCACAGATCGAAACATTTACAAATAATTTCATTGATAAACATCTCTCATAACTCTGCATCATAAATGTACACGTTAATTGTTACTAAGAGGTGAAGTACAAATCACACTTCAAAAAACAAATAAAACCTCCAAAAGACCAAAGTCATATCTCACTCTTAAATAAAAGCAATATATTATCTCATGATCTTTAGTCAACAACAAATAAAAAGATCAAAAAAAGATCAATATATAAATACAAATGTATATACACAACACAAAAAGAAGAAGAAAAACTGATCAAGCTTACAAAGCTACACACTCATTAGATCCACAGCTTTCAGCATTAAAAACAGGTCGCTGATGCAACGCCGATGGTCTCATCATGAAGTCTCTCTCTGGTTTATGGTTACCATCTTACATGAGCAAGTTTCCTAAAATCTGAGTGTAAACTTCTTTAGAGTCAGGTTTTCTCTGTGGCGGTGCATGTGTCTTGTGAGCGGGAAAGGCAGGGTGGGGTGTCTGCAAGCCTGAGTTTAAAGAGGGATGAGCACATCAGTTTCAACCAAAAAACGAAAAGCCCTTCTCTGCTGCAACCTCAAACTCTGTAATTAGTTTTTTTTATTATATAAATATCTTATGTATTTTAGCTGGAATGTCTAAATTCAACTCAAATTCAGACCGTAAAATGTCTCAAGCCACTAATGATCAAAGTGAGCTATCCATAGGCAAGGGAAGAACCAAATTGAACCACTTCTACTTGTTATTCTATTCCGCATGAAGCAGAGAGAGAACTAAGCTCCTCCCTTAAACAAAAACGATTGGTCGGGAGGACATCAAAGCCCCTTGGGGCCTCACTGGGGGTGGGGCTTACTGTGAGCACACCAATGCGAACCAACTCAAACTCTAAATGTAGCATTCACCACTATCACAGCTCTCCACGTGACAGGAGCTGATTGCTTTAACCCCCCC